CGCGTTTAAATTTTAAAAATATGTTGCTTATTTATTATTTAATTTTAATAGAAAGATTTTTAGATTTCTATTCTTAATGTAATTGTAATTAGACTGTACATGTATGCGGTATGTCCCATTTAAGAACACATTCAATATCTGGTACGATAAGTTGTCTTCTGCGTCTAGCATGATTATCTCGTCAGATAAATGTATGTTGAAAGAACAAAAATTTAAAGAAATCTTTCAAAAAAAAAAACACGAAAAAAGGTTCCGATGATTTCTCTTGGATAATAGATAAAAAAAGAATATGTGCGTTTTTTTCCTTTCAAACGGGGCCATTTGCATAAAATCTGACGTTGTACATTCGCGATACATTATCAATAGGGCAGATTGAAATATAAATAAACATATTTCAATTGTATAATGTAAACTACTGTATATAAAAATATGGAAGGCGGTCCTTGTAAAAAAAAAGAATTGTACATAGCTGGACGAAACTTGTATTTCGCCCTGTATTCACCCTGTCAGGTGAAACACGTGAGGATGGCTTATATAAATCTTTGAATTATCAATTGTACATATATAAATAAAGAGAAACGAAAATTTCCCTCTCCCCTACCCCCTCTAGTTGTAAACGTAAAATTGCAACTGATAGATTTGTGGAAAGAAAGAGAGAGGAATCTTTTTCTCAGCTTTAGATCTTGAAGATAGACTGTGTGCGTACCTTCGATATTGTTCTGTACTTATAAATATATTCAATTCAAACTACTTATACATAAAAGAAAAAAAAAATACGAACCGATAACAGTGATTACGCGGGCATATATGATACGTGAACCCCGGTAGTACCAAATTTAACGATAATTTTAGTTCTGTCTGGTACAGATTCCTTATATTTCAATAAATCTCTACTTGAAGTCAGGTTGTTTCTATATTCGATTATTTCTTCCTCGCGAATATTTTGATATATCGTGTATCAATTTATTAAAAAGAAGAAACGAGAGTTGCATGGTAAGGATCCTTGGCTAGGGATTCACAGAAATTCTGGATAAGAAAACGCCTTGGACAAGATTGGATAATGAATCTATTTTTTGTTTATAACTTACACACATGCGCGCGTGTATACATATATATGAATATAAATATGTGATAAATGTATATATTAATATTAATGTTCATCATACGTTATTCTATAATAAAAAAAATTACGCGAAATAGATGTATAATTACGTAAGCATACTTTTGATATAAATTGTGCAAGCCCGGACATACACCAGAATGGAATTGTCGGCAGTGTCAGAGAATGAAAGTGGCTATTTAATTCCAATATGCTAAAATGGAACTTGAGGTGCGTTCGGAGGTTTTCGTGGTCCCACGAAAAGGCCAAGATGGCCGCTCTCGGGTTTCTCTTTGTATAATATATGACATAACCTATATGTTTTCAGTACCGACAGTGAATATCCATATATACATATAATCAGTTTTTTG